TGAATCAGTTGTCAGTGGCCAAAGACTTAATCAGTCATGCCTATGCAATGAAGCCTCCATAAAACCCAAAAGGTCAGGGTTCAGAAAGCTTTCGAGTTGGTGAACACATGGAGATTTGCGGAGAGTAGTATATTCTGAGAGAGCATGGAAGCTCTACATCCTGTTCCCCATACCTTTCTCTAGGAATCTCTTCCATCTGGCTGTTCCTGAATTATATTCTTTATAATAAAGTGGTGATCTAGTAAATAAAATACTTATCTCCGTTCTGTGAGCTGTTCTAGCAAATTAATCGAAACCAAGAAGGGGGTCTTTAGAACCTCTAATCTAGAGCTGCTTGGTCAGAAACCCAGGTGACAACTGGACTTGGATTGGCATCTGAAGTGGAGAGGGGAGGCAGTCTTGAAGGACTGAGCCCTTAACCTGTGGGATCTGATGCTATCGCCAGGTAGATAGTGTCAGAATTGAGTTAATTGCTTAGTAGTTTGTGATTTAAAAAAACCAGACCCATAAACAAACACACACACACACACACACTGAAATTGGTATCGGAATCATACAAGGACAGGGCCAAGTGGTGTCCAGGCAGCATCTTATTTAGTCACTGTTGGTGTAAAGCTGATTAAATTTGACAAAGACAGGGATCTTTGTTCTAGTCCCCTGTATTTTCCAAGCTCCTAGAACAGCCTTGCACTAAGTAGGTACTCAGTATATATAGTTGCTGAAAGAATGAATTCATAAATCAATAGTGTTTTGCTTAGTAAATGGTGACTGTTCCATTTTCTAAGTGTTTCTTCCTCATACCTATCAGTCTTGAATTATATTTTACCCTGCAGAGAAGGAACAGGAAACTGTAAGCAACTTTGGGGCAGGGAACGGAAATGGGGAAACAAGACGAAGGAAGTTTACTGCTAAGCACACGTGACATTCTGGGCAGGTGCAGTTCTGAATTAACCAAGTTCTTGTTTTGCCATTGGCATGGGCAGTGTGATGTTTTTACCTAGGCAGAATTGAAGGTAAAAGGGCTAACCCTAGGAAAAATGGTGACCCTCCTGAATTTTGCCAAGTGTAACACCAAGGTCTTTTCCACGCTCTATCCATGTGTGGCGGGGCTCCTGTCCCCACTGTGAGCCAACGCTGGCAGGCCAGTGGAACAGAAGGATTCTGAATGGACTGTCAGTGTGCGAAGGGAGGCCAAGCTTCAGGAGTTCCTGATGTTGGGTTACACAAGAGTTCAAGAAACTTGTCTCTGTTACTACAGCTAATTGTGATTCATGCCCACCTGGAGAATGGGGGCTCTGCAAGGGAATTTGCCAGGTAGAAATCATTGTATGCTTCAGGCCTTATCAGCTCTGTGCACCCCTGGGAAATGAGCCCTGAGAACCCATCGCCATACTGCCCCAGTCTGGGAGGCAAGCTTTCTTTGCCATCAGTTGACCTGTTTATGAAAGGGAGCCAGTTGCTGAGGGAGTTTATCTCCTCTTTTCCATATGCCTTTTGCGCACGTAAGGAGCCAGCAGACTATAGAAATAATTCAGAGGGGTCAATGTCATCATCAGATCTGTCATAAAATAGAAAACAGGTGCTTTAGATACATTCTCTCTAATCTTTTCATAACTTCTGTAACTTAAGTATTCTCATTCTCATTTTATGGAATAAGAAACTGAGCTCAGAGAGATTTAGAAAGTTAACCCACCAGCTCCCAGTAAGTGGGAGGGTTGAGATTCAAACTCATGTCTGTGTGACTACAGTTATGTTCTCACAACCTCTTGCACATGTCAGCTAGAGAATGAAGAAGCAGGGTTGCGCATGACTGTACATACTTAGCTCTCCACCCCTGTGCCCCCACTGCCCCCAGGCTTTGTAGGTAACTAAGTGTTCTTTTCTTTAAATCAGAGAGGCATCTGGTAATCCATTGTGTTGTGCTGAAATGTAACTAGGTTTCTAAAACCAGTGGAAACTCCTGGAGGCCTATTGCTAGGAGTTGCCAAAATAGGATGAGTAGTATTTCAGGGTCAAGGGCTTCCTTTCACCCATATCTCCTCGACCTGAGTTGTGCTGTGCCAGAATACAGACTCTCTGGCCCAAAAAGATTACACTTTTCCACCACTCTCTCTTCCTCTGATTTCTGGCCTAAGGTTCCATACTTTTAGAGAATGTCATGATTCTGCTGTTGCCCCTTGAGTCAGCATCTTGAATAGGCTGAGTCTCTCTCCCTCTCTCCTTTCTCTCTGTCTCTCTGTCTGTCTCTCTCTCTTGGCAACGGTGGGCTCCATGGGACCAGGGACTATATGGACTAATGCTTTGCTTTGCATAATGTCTGGCACAAGTGAGTGAGTGCTTAGCCAATACTTGAATGAATGAATGAATGAATGGTTGCAAGTTAAAAAATTTTAGAAGCCAAAAAGGCAGAAACTTCTACAAAATAAACCAAAGTTAGTCACGTATTTGGCACTAGTGAAAGTCAGGCTGCCTTGGCCCTTAAAAGAAGCATATTCTAAACTTTTTAAAAATTGCCTCAAATAGCTTTAAATGTACATAAGGAGTAAATTAATGGTACGTGAGAGTGATTCAGAACATTTAGGTTCTTATGACAATTTGAATTGCTTTTAAAGGTTCCTGGGAAGCTGGAGAAGGTTGCCTGGAGGACAGGCAGAGTGGATTTATTTAATATGTTGAAATCATCTTTACTTTTGGAGAAATTGCTTTTGAAGTCTCTCCTAGTAGAACCCTTTTAGTGAACTTAAGCTGCACACTGCAGGGTATAAAGGTGTGGATTAGAAGTGCTTTGCCAGGAGAACTGGAGAAGGCAGGTCTGATGATAAAGTCATCCCGCGCATGGCTGGCATTACTCTTCCCACAGGGATTGCACTGCCTTCCTTTGTTCTACCACCCAGGAAACACCTGCCACTCCTTCCTTAGAATGGGCTCACTCCATTTATCCCCATGACTTTGTCAAATGCTTGGGGATTGAGAAATAGCATATTCTCAGCTTGCTCAGATGGGAAGGCAGCCTAGGTAGAAAGCCATAAATTATTCTGATTGCTAACATAAAGTGCTTTCTGAAGCGTGTGCTTGTAATGCTGCTGTAAGGTGTTGATTCCTTCATTTTATTAGGCTTGAATTCAGCACCGTTTTCTCAGTCCTGTGAGTTCATGCTGCTGTTGCCTTATGAGTCCTTATTGTAGCATAATCTCATTAAAAAATGTTGGATACAGCATCCATTTCAATAAAATGGGTATAGAAGGAAAGTACTTCATCATAATAAAGACCATATATGACAAACCCTCAGCTAATATACTCATGGTGAAAAACGGAAAGTTTTCCTCTAAGATCAGGAACAAGACTAGGTTGCCCATTCTCACCACTGTTATTCAACGTAGTACTGATACTGGAGGTTCTAGCCACGGCAGTCAGGCAAGAGAAAGAAATTTAAAAAAAAAAAAAAAGGATATCCATATTGGGAATGAAGAAGTATAAGTGGGGAGCATTTGAAATCTTACTCCCTGGCAATGTTCTCACTTTAGTTCAAATAAACTCATAAAAATTCTCTAAAAAAAAAAGAAGACGTAAAATTGTCACTTTTGGCAGATGACAGGATTCTTTACATAGAAAACCGTAAAGACTTCACCAAAAAACTATTAGAAACAATAAATAAAGTTGCAGGATACAAAATCAACGTACAAAAATTCATTATATTACTATATAACAATGAAATTTTAGAAAAAGAAATTTTAAAAGCTTCCTTTTGCAATTGTGACAAGAAGACTAAAATATCTAGGAATAAATTTAACAAAGAATATGAAGGACCTATACACCGAAAACTGTAAGACAGTTTTTAAAGAAATTGAAGAAAACACAAAGAAATGGAAAGATTTTTCACATTCATACATTGGAAGAATCAACATAGTTAAAATGGATGTAGTCCCAAAGCAATATATAGATTTAAGGCAATCCCCATGAAATTCCCAATGGCATTTTTAAAAGAAATAGAACAAAAAAATAATCAGATTCATGGAACCAAAAAAGATCCTGCATAGTCAAAGCAGCCCTGAGAAAAAAGAACAAAGCCAGAGGTATCACATTCCTGACTTCAAATTATACTACAAAGTTACAATAATCAAAATAGCACAGTACTGGCAGAAAAACAGACATACAGACCAATGGGATAAAATTGAGAGCCCACAAATAAACCCACATGTATATGGGTGAATAATCTTTGACAAAGGAGCCGTTGACTTCTAAAACATTTTTAATTTTTTTAAATGTGTTGCAGCCTTTTCTTTGTAAAGAATTGCCATTATCCTGTTATGCAGATTAAGAATCAATAACTAGAATAGACATGTTTTTTACTTCCTCTTGGCATTCAACTTAAGGCTAACATTAATATTAAGATTTGACATTAAGATTACCTAAACTCGATTATGCACACACAAGTGTGCTCCCACACTGAATTCCACTGCGTTCTGTTGGGAGGAGGGGCGTGATGAACCTACTGCCTGACTCATCAGCGTCCCTTGGTCCTGAAGCAGAATGTGGATTTCCACTAGAGGTTTTCTCAAAGGGGACTTCTGGGTGTTTCACCCAGGGTACTCCACAGTAAGGGTCCCAGAAATCCCCTAGGACAGCTGCTCGGATGGTTCAGTTGCTCTTATTCAGCTGGTAGATCCTCTCACTTCGTGCTGATGTTTCTCTTCTGCTGCTTCCCCCTGGGTTCTCTGCCAGCCCAGAATTGTGCCATCTCCTGACCTGTACTGCAAGCCCCCTGCAGATGGAATTGTGCTCTCTCTCGCGCTCCCTCTACCTCTGCTTTTCTTGAGAAAATAATGATAAGTAAAATTCTCTGCCTCATCTAATAAGAAAAATAATGTTCATATCTTTTCCCGCTCTATACAAGAAAAAAGGAAATAACTGTAAATTATGACTTAGAACTCAAGGAAGTCTCCTGGGTTTAATGCTTGGGGTTCATTTCTTGCGGGTCTGTTTTATGGTTTTGAATTTAATATTATTAAAATATGTTCTTTTAAATTTTTTTCTAGGTGAATGTCGGATGTGTACCCAAAAAGGTAGAATTTTTATTTATTTCTTCCATACTCCTTTTACATGTTTGGTAAATCATGATCAGAATAAGGTGGTTTCCAAATGTTTCAGTCAAAATGCTTTTTGCAAAAAATAACTGAGGATCCAACTCAAAGTGGCTTAAACGATAAGCTAGGTTTTTTTGGTTTGTTTTTTGATATCCCTTATTAAGAAACCTAGAGGGGGAAAAAGAAGCCTGGAGATAGGCAGTTTCTGAGATTGGCTTAGTACTTAAGGGTATCTGAAAGGACCCTGGCTTCTTTCCATCTTTCCATTCTGATAACCTAGGTATATAATCTACAGTAAACCCCCTGCCTCATGGCCACTGGATGGCTCCCGGAGCTCCAGGCAGGATGTCTTCACCCAGCACTATTTCTGCAGATTGCTTTAGCCTCTCTTGGCCAGAGCTTAGCTATCCCTGCAGGGGAGCCTGGGGGGGGAGGTGCTCCTGGGCAGATAACCACAGAAATAATTAGCTCCTGGACACTAATTGCGTCATGTGTGCAAAAGAAATTCATCCTGGACATTCTCTATGTGGTAAGTTTTTACCATATGGTGACAAAGTGAAAAAAAGTCCTGCGGTGGCACAGTGGAGAGGTAACCAGGAATGGAACACAGTGTCTAGTCTCAAACTTCTGATGGTCTGTAAGGAGCAGTGACCAACAAAACCTCTATAGTCATGGCATAAAAGAAAAGCAGTAGCCATTTGCACAGGATAACTTTTTCTCAGGAAATAAAAAGTTTATACCCAACTCTCAGCCCAAGTACTGATAGGACCAAGACCAAGTGGATGATGGTGGCAGATGTATGCTCCTCTCACACATGGTTCTAGTTAACTACCTGGAATCCTGGGGTGATGGTGCAGAGGGTGATGTGTTTGCCTCAAGCCATCTGGTCTTTCACCTGCCCCAGTGCATCTCTGAATCAGGTTTTTCCCAGGGAGAATAGAACTGTTTTTCTCCTGGAAAGACATGTCAAGCGTGTCATGTTTTTTTGTTTGTTTCATTTTGTTGGTGGGAGTTTTTGTTTTTAAACACAGAAATTGATTTCCCTATACATTTCCCATGTTAAAATCATGTATCATGTGACTTTGGGTATCTAACGGCAACTCTAAGGTTGAATTTCTCAAGTTGCTTGAATGGCATTTCTGAGTACAGTATTTGGATACAGTAGTCTGTTGATAGAGTTGCTATGTACTTGGGTCCTAGTCCCATCTTTGCTATTCCAGAAATTCAAGTTTATTGGTTTACTCAGGAGTGAATTGATTATCTGACATCACAAGAAATTGTTTTGTAAAACAATATATTGATTTATCAGTTTAGAGTGAGTGAGATTATAGCTGGGCCTAGTAATTAGGACAGGATAGCTTTTTCTCAGTAGGGAGAGCGAGCTGGCAAACTAAATTCTTGAGTGAAAATTTCTTAAGTATTTCCATTCAACTCTGTGGCCTCATAGATTCTCTTTACCACTATAGTGATTGCTCGTCCTAATAGCTGCGATGCAGGTCACATTGAATGAACTCATCCTTACCTGTGACAAAGAAGAAGAAATGACAGCCCTTATTTCCAAAGCTGCCCCTTGCTTATACTCGCTAAGAATTTTACTCCTCATTTGAATGTACTTTCAAAACATGTTATAATCCTAAATTTTCAACCTTTGTCACTGAGATTACATTTTAAATTGGCAGCTTTTGGTTACACAAGCAAATATCCTAATCTCATCAGTGACACGTGCCTAGTTTAATTCCAGAAAGGTTTTCTGTAATCTGTTTTCTAATATAGATAGGTTTTTGGGTTATTTTTCTGAGTTGGGAAAATTTCTTTTTTTTCTGTGGGACTTTTTCCTTTTCCCCGCCTAGGTTTTGGAATCTTTTCTGCTTAGATTTTGTAATATGAGATTATGGATATATGGATTGTGTAAATTAGTTACAAGGTGGTTTTATGTAGTTTAAGCCAATTATGGTAGTAAATCTGCTATTGATTGGTGCTACTTCATTATTTTAAAATACCATCTGGGATGCTACTGCATAGTAGACGGAATTTGCAATATTTTATTTCCATTTGTTTCCCTTGCCCTTCTATTCTGATCACGTACTAGACATTTATCGTATATTTTTATAGGGCTCTATTTCAAAATGCTTTTGCGTTCTTGAAGATCAGTGGGTGATAACCTCTTGTTCTGTAGAGCAGACTGAAGCCTAGAGTCAGTGTCCCCTGCACAGGGTAGAGTGAAGCAGCAGTAGAGAAGGAACCAGATGGATGGGCCTGCCACAGCCCTGGTTAAGTCTCAGCCGAAAAGCCAGTGCAGTTCAGATAGAGGCACCCTCTCCAGAGGGTTAGGTGCTATAGCATTGTACATACTACAAATCAGAAGTAAATAAATATGGTACCTCAGGATAATATGAGGTGTAGTGGTATTCCTTAAAATAATATAATTTATTTGTGGTATTGATAAATTTTTCATATACATTGTTCAAGATAAAGAATCTAGCAGATAAAATGGCTCACTCGATATCACATGAATTTCACCTCAGTAAAAGAAACAGAATCCAGCAGAATCATCAGTTTATTCATCATTAGGTGTAAAGGGAGAAAGGTGCAAACAAGGGATCTTAAGACTTGTCAAAAGTAGAATTAAGACTTCTCTGGCCAAGACAAACGGTAGTTTGGCTGTCATCTAGAGTTCTGGATGCCAATTTGAATTCGGTTATCATGATGATCAATCAGCTGGCATTAAAAGGCTTCACAGATTGTTAGGCTACATTCTGCAAGAGGTATGTTGAACCTTTCAGTTCCAGGCATCTAATCACATACGTTCTTACAAGGACATGTTCATAGTTACTGAATACATAACAGGAATTCATTCTCTTAAGTTTTCAGTCCTCAACTTTGCCCAGTGGCTTCCTTCCAAATCACTGTACTGTAAAGTTACAGATGCAGTTCCATTTCCCGGTACGAATCACAAAAGGCAGGGCTTAAAGAAATCTGAAGCTTAAAAAGAGAATGTAAGGAGTAATGAATATTCGTGGAAGGACGATAGGCCTTCTAACATCCTGCTTTTACAGAGTTTATAAACTAGGGAATTTAACTATAGAAGTAATTTTCCTCCAACATTTCAGAAGCCTCTCTATAAAATCTTTCTGGTTGTTTTCTGAACATTCTCTTTTAAAATATTTAGTTTTCCTTTTAAGTTAAAGATCAGTATTATTATCATCTGCTGTTACATAGTTACCTTTCATTCCCGCTTTCTGTTGTCCCTCAGGACTCATGCGCTACTGTTTGGGGTCCTTTTTTTGCAGGTAATGTGGAACACGGCCGTCCACTCTGAATTCATGCACGATCACGTTGATTACGGCTTTCAGAGTTGTGATGGTAAATTCAATTGGCGGTAAGTGTTCATTCTCAGAGGGTTCTTTTTATAAATATAAATATTTTTCTTTCATAATTAAATGTGCCACAAACTTTTGGGGGGCTGTATTGTGGTAAAATATATATAAGGAGCTTTTGGAGGTGATAGAGATGTTTATGCCTTGATTACAGTGAGAGTTTCACAGGTGTATATTATCTCTAAACTCATCAAGTCGTATGCATTAAATGTGTACATATTCAGACACACAACATCAAATGTCCGTTTTAGCCATTTTTAAGTTGTCAATTCAGTGGCATTAAGTATGTTCATAGTGTTATGCAACCATTACTACTATCCATTTCCAGAAATTTTCCACCATCCCAAATAGAAACAGTGTTGTTCAGTGTACCCATGAAACAATAACTCCTCTCCCAGGCCCTAGTATCTCTATTCCACTTTGTTTCTATGAATTTGCCTATTTTAGGTACTTTCTACAATATTTGTCCTTTTAGGCCTGGCTTGTTTCACTTAGTATAGTGTTTTCAAAGTTCATCCTTGTGCTGTGTGTCAGAATTCCAGTCCTTTTAAAGGCTGAATGATATTCTTTTATATTTATGTATCATATTTTGTTTCTCCATTTTTCAATGGACTTTTGGGGTTTTTTCCACCTATTGCCTATTGCAAATAATCCTGCTATGAACGTTGGTCTACAGGTTCATGCTTTTAGTTATTTTGGGCCTATACCTAGAAGTGGAATCGCTGGATCATGTGGCAATTTTGTGTTTAATTTTTTAAGGAGCTGCCATAAACTTTTTAAAGCCATTGAATTTTTTAGCAATTTTAGCAAAGTCATTCATTTATTCAACAGATATTAAGTGGCAAATATGATTTGCACCATTTAGTTCCAATAAGCTCTTAATGCTACCATGCTAGGCATTGTGCCAAAGCAGCTCTCCTTGTCTTCTGTGCAGAGAAAAATTTTATTTATATACCGTGAATGCCAACTGAACGTTCTCTGTGGAGTAGAATAGGTGTTCTCCACACATGGGAGAACAGATGGACACGGGGAGGGGTGCTGTCTTTAGAGACCTTGACTTATGGGGCTCATGACGATAGTCTGCGATTCCCTGTTCAGGCATGGATGCCCTAGTAACTAACTGAAAAAGGAGAACCCCCTTTCTTGGTACTGACTCAGGTTTCACTGCAGGGTTATAAAGGAAAAGCGGGATGCCTATGTGAGCCGCCTGAACACCATCTATCAAAATAATCTAACCAAGGTGAGTGTGCTGGGTTTTGAACTTTGAGAAGTTGCTAGAGCATGCTAACAAGTCTGGCCAGGCTAAAGCGTAGCCATTGCCTCTCTCTCGTTGGTTCTGTTACTTCCTCTATGGTTAATGATTCTGAGGCTGACCTGTCGGAGAGAAGCCTCTGACTTGGTAAGCCAGTCTGTCTTCTACAGAGAGCTGTGCCAAAGTTGAAGACCAGGTCTCACCTGATGGCTGTACTTTGAATAGGTCTGGCCCTCCACTTAGTTCCAGAAGCCAAACACATAAGAGTGAATATGCCAGGTTATTAGTTAAAATCAGGAGCATTATCTGGCTAGAAAGTTACTGTTATTTGCTCAGAGCAGCCTCATCTTTGGTGGGTAAATCTACTCAGGAGTCCATATTATGGTTCAGAAGGTTCTTTGGTGAATGAAATCTCATCAAGAAAATTGGACAAAGGTCAGTTTTCCTATAGCAGATTCGTGCTGTCCTTGGCTCCCCTGAGGTTTTTTTCATCTTATGTCTTAGTGCTTAAATATCATACCTCTCCCACCTCAACTATGCCAGAGACATTGACAAATTGTGCACCATCAACTCTCCTTTTTCTTGACAGCATACATCTCACACCTTTCATTTGATTTTATGGTCTCACTTTGCAGTTTCTAAGATTTGAACGTAGCTTAGGTTATATTTACATCAGTAGATTCTCAGTGATATTTGGGCCACTAATCTCATTAGCAGATTGTTAATAAGCCAGTTTTTAGTGTGAGTTACTTCTACAGATGGCTAACCTCATATATTTTTATATTGATTCTTATCATTCACTGGGTTTCTTTTTGGATGGTGATATTTTCTGACCTTAATCCCGAATTGAAGGGGAAAACATTTGGGGACTTTCAGTTCCCTGGGCACTGACAACAAGATATTTTAAGTCTATTTAGACATGAGTACAGAGATAGCACTTGCTATACTAAAACACCCACATCAAACTTTATTAAAAATTAGAGTTTGCTAAAATGCAAAAGAGACAGGAAAATCACTCAAGAAACAGCATTGTTTTGCCCTGGCTGGTGTGGCTTGGTCGGTTAGAGCGCCATCCCGTACACCAAAAGGCTGCAGGTTCAATTCCTGGTCAGGCCACAAACCTAGGTTGCGGGTTCGATCTCCGGTTGGGGCACATATGAGAGGCAGCCGATCGATGTTTCTCTGTCTCCCTTCGTTCCTCTCTCTCTAAAAATCAATAAAAACATATTCTTGGGTGAGAATTAAAAAAGAAAAAGAATCAGCATTTTTTAATACAAATTTTGGTATGCCATAAAACTTACTATGACTTTATAGGGAAGGAATTCTGAATAGGAAAGGAAACTTTCTGTCAAATATCCTAAGAAATGAAAATAAAAATATCATCAGTTCTTTCCCCAAACTATTATCTCTATTATTGCCACTTGACCCATACCCCTTTTTGTCTAGCACTCCATAGGAAATTATTAGCTCCTGAAGGAAGGATTTCTGGAAGCTTGTGGCTTTTGGCATCAATCTTGATTCAGCCTGATTAAGAGCAGGCCTGGAGGGGTGGTTTGAAAGGAGACAATAATTCAATTCAGAACCAAGCATCTTTATTTTTAACATCTGAAAGAAAGCTGAGTTTATTATAATTTATTAGTAGTTGCTATACAAGAGCAAGCATGTTCTAAAATGTTAAAACATTCTGTTCTGTAATCCTGTTTGCATGATTCCATTACCCTTGTAAACTGCCCGCATTTACATGCCAATACATGTATCGTAGAGGCCAGCTGCCAATCTCTAATCCCCAAATTGAGGCTCCCTAAATGGAAGCCCTGGCACAGTAAGAGCAAATGAGTCAGAATTCTCAGCATCCCTAGCTCAGAACTTCATTGTTATGTCATGTGTGGTATTCTTCCCATTTTGTTTAAGAAAACAAAAGCGTTGCATTTTCCTGTCTTGGCCTGAGTATTTCCCCTCTGCCTCTGCTCCCTTCACCTCTACCCTTTTTCTTTCTCAACCCTCTACTCCTCCTTCAGACAACATCATTCTTCTGTGTGTTTTCGTTGCAAGTAAGGAAGACTTTCTCCCTCAACTCTTCGGGACAAAAAAAATCTTCTTCCTTGTGGGGGTGACTTGCATATATTTTTTTAGTCTCTGGGTTTTGGCCCAAAATGGCACCTTGATTTCTTGTACACTTCCAGCATTGAATGGCAGCCCCCTTACCTAAGTATCCTTTAACAGAAAACTCGAACATTGAGGGTTGTCTTGGTCTCAGCAAACCCAAAGTCAAAATCCTCAGTAGAGAAATAGAAAGCTCTGATAAGTTGCAGCAGGGTTTGGGTTTTTTTTAGTTTGTTTTTGTTTTTTGATATGTTGTTAATGATTTGAGAGAGAGAGAAAGGGAGAGGGAGAGAGAAACATCAATGAGGGAGAGAGACATCCATTAGCTGCCTCCTGCAACTCCCCCCTACTGGGGATTGAGCCCACAACTCAAGCATGTGCCCTGACCAGGAATCAAACCGGCAACCTCTTGGTGTGAGGGACGATGCTCACCCAGCTGAGCCACACTGGCCAGGGCTAGGGTTTTTGTGTTATCTTAAGAACATTCTCATGTCATGCATGGTTCCTTCTCCAGGCCCACATAGAATTCATCCCTGGCTATGCAGCATTCACGGGTGACCCCACGCCCACGGTAGAGGTCAATGGCAAAAAGTACACTGCTCCTCACATCCTGATTGCAACAGGTGGCGTCCCCTCGCATCCTCAGGAGAGCGAGATCCCCGGTGAGTCTTCCAAACGCAAATGCTTGTGAGTAACAGCCAGGGGGAGCTTATTGGAGGGCGGGAGAGGGAAGCAGAGTCAACAAAGGGTCTACTCTCGAGAGCTGAGAACATTTTATTTCCACAGAGAGATTTGATAGGTTTTTAGTTATCACTGCTCTTATTTCTAGAGAGAAAATTAAAATGTCAACTCTGGGAAGACTTGGTTGGCAGCTTCCCAAGTGAGGATTTTTAACAGCTTGTCAAAACAGAGAGTATGGTGGCTGAGAAAGCATTGGGTCTTGCATACAATGTTGCGATTGTTTTCCAAGAGAAAGTTGAGCCTGTGTGATCTATATTGCATTTTCCTACATAGGTGCCCACCTAGGAATAACCAGTGATGGATTTTTTCAACTGGAAGAATTGCCTAGGTAAGCTGGTGTCCTTCCTCACCTCGGTGCTCATTCTGCCTCCATCTCTCCTGCTGACATTTCTCCCCACTCCCCCCCAGCCATTCAGTGCAAGTTCTTTCCTGATTCTGTTCTCCTGCCTCTTCTCTTTTTATGACCTTGGGTATCATTCACTTGTACGCTCATTAAGTGACTCAGATCTTTCATGCCTTTGGTCAGAGGCTATTGTAGAATTTTTATTTATTTATTTATCTATTTATTTATTTAAATATATTTTATTGATTTCAGAGAGAGGAAGGGAGAGGGAGAGAGAGACAGAAACATCAGTGATGAGAGTCATCCATCCGCTGCCTCCTGCATGGCCCTGCTGGGGATGGAGCCCACAAGCTGGGCATGCGCCCTGACCAGGAATCGAACCGCGATCTCCTGGATCCTAGGTCAATGCTCAACTAGTGAGCGATGCTGGCCGGGTTATTGCAGAATTTTTAGAACCAGAATCAAGCACAGGATGGTTTTGAAGAATAAATACTAATGCCCTAAAACTATCTTCTGTCTTCAACTTTATACAGCATCCACTTGATGTGTCTCAAGTAACTGATTCTGGTTGTCAGAGCAGCTAGTGCTCACGGCTGTCCATAAACGAAGGCTCTGTCAGTCTCACGAACATAGATTTTCTGAAATCTTTCTTTATAAGTGTTTGTCCAAGTAACCTTAGTAAACTTCTGTCATGAATTTGGATACACAGAGATGAAAAAGAATAAGGAAGGTTGTTTCTCTAATTTGAAGAAGCTGCAGGCTTTCTAGGTTAGAGGGATCCTCCCTTCACTCATGGAAAGAGGTGACGCCCAGGAACTGGAGCAGGGACCCTTTTTAGCCCAGGGGCTTTTATCTCCTCCTGAGTAATACTCACTCTAGTCAGCAGCTCAACTCTGCTGCTCCCCAAGGCGGTGCTGCCAATCCAGTTTGAGGTCTTAATCCTGTGCTTTTATAAAGGCCTTCATGGGAGATAACTGGAAAGTCACACCCACACCTTTATGTTAACTCACCTGGAGTTGCAGTTAATGTGGAACAAAAGAGCCTCTTTGCATGTCCATTGCTGCAGTGAAGATGTCCTATTAAGATACTCAGGCCAGGCAATCTTTTGACTTAGAGAAGAGCAAACAGCCTTTTTCGGTTTGCTGTCTGCAGGGCATGGAGCCGTGTTAGAGGACAGCCTTTCTTCCCTCGTGATCCACCCTGGTTTTTAGGTTGAATGATGTCACATGTGTGGTCATGACTTGTCTTGTTTAGATGATATCATTCAATCCAGACTCACCCTCAGAGACGTTTTATTATATAGCTATCTGTCCATTAAACACTTTAAAATCGTTTCTTAAACTTGCATTGCTAGCAATAAGTGAATTTAAACAAATTCGTTCAAATTGTACCAATATCAGTTTCTTAGTTTTGACAGTTATACCATGGTTAGGTAAGATGTCAACTTTTAGAAAACTGGGCAAAGGTGTACAGAACATCTCTGTACTAGCTTTTCAACTTTTCTGTAAATCTAAAATTATTCCGAACTAAGTTTATTTAGAAATCTCATCCCTGTCTTTTCATTCAGCCGCAGTGTCATTGTTGGAGCAGGATACATTGCTGTGGAGATAGCAGGGATCCTTTCTGCCCTAGGTTCTAAGACATTACTCATGATACGGCATGATAAGGTAAATTCTATCCTTTTACCTTCTGCTTCCTTGACGTTAATCTCTTTAAAATTTTCTCTTGTGTTGTCATTAAATACCAGGTTGGAAAGCCTGTGGGGTTGGCTGCTTTGTTCCGCATGGGGCTGCATAGGAGCCGTCTGAATTAGGCCCCAGCTACCAGCTGCTAGTTGACAATAATGATTTTGATTTCATCAAACTGGCTGGTATTTTCATTATGAAGTCCTTGATGGTATCGGATGCCTTCACAAGGAGACATGCAGGCTTAAATATAAATAGTAGCTAAATTGAACAGACTATCAGTTTAATTTCTTATTCTGGAAAGCAATTTCACATGATCAGGTAGTATTGGATTTTTAACACTCAGTCAACTACGTACTTTGCATTAAAAGGAAACGTATCTGAAATATTTACACACTGATGTTCATGGCAGCATTATTCACAGCAGCCAAGAAGTGGAAGCAACCCAGATGTCCAGTGGCGGATGACTGGATAAACATAATGTGGTACATACATACAGTGGAATATTTTTCATCCTTAAAAAGGAGTGGCATTCTGACACCTTACAATGTGGATGAACCTTGAGGACTTGCTAAATGAAATAGGCCAGTCACGAAAAGACAAATACTTTATTTCACTTCTATGAGGGTATCTAGAGTAGTCAGACTCATAGAAACAGAAAGTAGCGTGGGGGTGGTTGCCAGGTGCTGCGGGGAGGAGGAAATGGGGAGTCCTTGTTTAATAGCTACAGATTTTCAATTTTTCAAGAGAAAAAAGCTATGGCACTCAGCACAGCAGTAGGAATGTACTTAAGACTCTGGAACTGTATATTTAGAAGCGGTTATGTTGGTAAATTTAATGGTATGCATTTTTTTAATCACACAGAATAATAAAGGAAGCTCTTAGATCACCTGCTTGAACCTCATTTTAAGGCCAAGGAAAGTTTTGTGAGTGCTAATTAGTATCAAAACAGAGTCAGCTAAGGTCTCAGAAGCCCTGGCCAGTATTTTTTCTGCTAAAATGCTTCCTCCGTTTGTCACTGGTGATGAAGTGCAGCTTAGTCTGTTTTTTATTGCTTGTGACTTAGCCTGTTGGGTTGTGGCTCAGTGTTGCAGCTTTCAGAGACATGGTGTGGGGCAGTAATAGGAGGGTTGCCTCAAGAATCTGGCTGCCCCTAACAAGTGTGTGACTTGGGCAAGTCATTTAATGCCTTTGGAACAGGATTTATCTGATCCCTGACCACCCAAATGCTATCGTTCAAATTCTTGATGATTTGAGCAAATGGAGGGAAATGAGGGAGACCGACCATCCTGTACTCAAAGGAACTTTCTCTTTGGCTTTGAGACTTGTCATATAATTAACCCCCAGGAGATGTATGTCCTGAATAATGTTTTCATAGGTAAATGCTATTTTGCATTGCTGGAATGTATCTAGCAAATTGGAAGGAGGAAGACAGAGGGATAGGTAGCCTGCATTTAATATGTAAATAAGCAAAGAAACTGCAGCATTTTATCAGTGTGGTGGTTAATTTCCTGCATTTGGAAAAATGGCTTGTTTGCTGACAGCCACAGCCACTTGGGCTTCCTACCCTCCCCCTTCCCAATGCATCAAGCTCATTCCCCCTGTCCTGCCTGTTCCAGTGTAACTCTGTTCTAGAAGTAGCCTATGAACAACTCATGACCCTCCACCTTTACCCTGCCTGGGATATATTGCATGTGTGTTGGCACAAAGAAATCTCTAGAAAAAGAAAGGATTCCTATGAGAAAAGAGAAGTTGCTAGACTGTAACAACTATTATTTTAAAGAATAGTCTCCCAAGGGCAGTAATGGGAGCCATCATAAGAACATTGGAAATAATATTGAGGATTTTGAAAAAAAGAACAAAAATCCTGGTATCAAAAACGTAGATTAATTATTATGTCAATTTTATTTCCTATTCCAGTGGTGTTACACTATAGAATTCATGTGGCTCCTAATTAACTCAAGGCTGTATGATTCTCATAGTCATGGCACTTCATAAGGGCAAGCAAAGAATAGCTAGCTATGTCAGCTTCTTAAGTGAAAATTAAAAAATGATAATGATGCTTATCTCTGGGGATATTAGATACTGAAAACATTGTTTATTAGTGTAAGTGCCCAATGTATTTTATTTTATTTTATTTTATTTATTTATTTTAAAAAAATATATCTTTATTGATTTGAGAGAGAGAGAGAGAGAGAGAGAGAAACATCAATGATGAGAGAGTCATTGATCAAGCCCGAAACCCGGGCATGTGCCCTGATCGCCTGGATCCTCGGTCGACGCTCAACCCCTGAGCCACGCCCGGCCGGCCCGAATGTATTTCAAATCTTACAGTTCTACTTAAATTAATACTATCTGCTAATCTATTCAGGGTCACTGGGTTCTGCAGGTTAATTATATACCTTAGGTTGTTCCCTTGTTACCAGTTCTGTTTGTCTTTAATTGTCTTTTGTTTGAAAGAGGCCTGATCATATCTCATTAGAGTCATTGTCTTCTTTAATTAGTTTAGCTGACTATTAAATCTACTGCATTGTCAATTCCATGATCTCTCCCATGACTAATACGATCTTTAAGGCTGCATACCTTAAGAAGAATTAGGATAGCCTTTCACCAATAATGTGTAGGAAAATGTGGATTTTCCATTTTCTTTCCAAAAATCTGCCTTTCCCACTGAATATCCTCTTCTTCCTCTATCACCCGTCATCCTGTCACCAGCATCATCACCACCTTTGTCATGATCACCACCAGCATGACCACCAAGCCCTCCATAAATACATTTCCTGGCATATTGATCTGCTGTGATTTGTCAGGTTTGAGCATCACTCCAAGTATATGCTGAGCCCCCATAAAGCAGTCTCATCAGACATGGCCCTTGTTTTCCAGAAGCAGCTGAACCGTCTCTAGCCTATTCCCCACTTTATTTCTTCAAATTTCTTCCATTCAAAGTGGCCCACTTGCTGGTCCCCATCTGTAACCTGGTAAGATCTCCTTATATTTGTACGGACTCTCCTACTTAAGGTGCTTTCCCTTCCCGAGTCATCGAGATCTGGTGCCAATGCCACATCCTCCATGAAACCTTCCCTGTTCTCGTCTGTATAATTTCTATCTTCTATAAACCACCTTATCTGTACATCCTTTAAGTTAATTATTAGTCTGTCTTTCATTCTGATATTTTGTGTCTTCCACACAGTAGACCTTAATAAATATTTGTTGATAGAATGATCAGTGATTTACAGTGTTGACCTCAGCTTAGCTGGCAAGAGTTAAAGGGACTAGGGACTAGGGTGTCCATACACATATTCATATCCTCCTAGCACCTTTCAGAGTAAGTCCCACAAAATAGACACTCAGTGCATACCTGCTAATTTAAAATAATGATAGTCTTTGCGTTCTGGCAAAGACTTAAGTGAGTGATTGCTGTGAAAAAGGTGAAATATGAGAATATTGCTATAACACAATGCTAAAGAACGTGTAAATGCCTTGGGAGGTACATGTAACTTACCAAGTGTGCTGAACGTCCCACCCCAACTCGGTATTCTGAACTCAATTAAAAAATAAAGTGTTTCCATAGCTATGGAAGGGAGATTAATGAGCCTTGGTCCTGAGGCCATGAAGAGGCCCTATCTCTTTATTCCCCATTTAGCGACACTTTAAACTGGTCTGACAGATGTGGCTTTCGAACAGACCATTCTCCCATGTTCTCTGTGCCTTCGCAGGATCTATAGGCCTGCAAGGGATAATGGAGCAGAAGTTGTCTTCCCTGATAGACACAGTGGTCAGTTCTTAGTGGTTCTAGTGCCTTTATTTTATTTTATTTTGAATTTTTATAAGAGTTTGAGCCAACCAACAACATGTGCTGGAGAGCAAGATCTCAAATGTTCCCTCCAGTGCCTTTAAATTGCCTCCAAGATCATGGGACCAAAGAAGTAAGTGTGTAATGTCAATGGAGGAGACTTGATCTGAAGAATCAGACTGAGCTCAGTTTCAACCCTGGCTCTAATACTTTCTAAGAATCATTCCATTTCTTGGAGTCTCAGCTTCCTCATCTGAAAAAAATGGGGATAACATCTCCTTCCCCATAAAATCAGGGGAAGGTTTTGAGCATAAGTAGATAGATGGATAGAGAGACAGACCTTCTCTAGAATAACACCTAGCATTCCAGAAAAAAAGACATAATGTTTCAACTTTGTCAGGAACTTTAATAGGGATGGATTCCATATTTACCAAATTTAGAGACCTAAAATAGTTTGAGACTAAAGTAAGACTAGTATTAAAAAAAAAAAAAAAAAAAGAAATCTCCAAAACAATGCTATTGATTTTTCTGACTAGATAAGGAGATGTTGCTAGAGAATCTTCCTTTACATCATATCAGAGGGAAAGCTGGTCTTGGAATACTGAAAAGGGAAACAATTTCTGGTCCCTAGACTTATAGGAAAGAGGAACAAGCTTGGGAGGAAAGGACATGGCGAAGGCAGTGGAGGCCTGAAGGTTGCCTGTCTGTTTAAAGCAGGAGTTGGTGGAGTCAGATGTAATGCAGACATTGGTGGTGACATAGGGAAATAGATTTAGTAAAACTGCACTCACAGTATGGCTGTGAATGGAGATAAAAGGGAGGACGGTACTGAAATTTCCCTCCCAAGTTTGTAGCATATCTTTAAATATGCTTTTTCGCTTTCCTACCACCATCCCTCTGCTGCCTCTGTTTGTATACAGGTACTTAGAACTTTTGATTCAATGATCAGTTCCAACTGCACTGAAGAGCTGGAGAATGCTGGCATAGAGGTCCTGAAGTACTCGCAGGTATGACCCACCCAGGGCACCCTTCCAGCCCTTAGTCGTCCGTCTCTTTGTCTACCCCAGTCAATTGATTCCTTTCTAGGGTACTACCAGTTCTTCCCTTTCTTCTAAGATGCTGTATTTCTTATTAATGTATTAATGAAGTCAAGGTATTTAGAAATCTGGTAGTTGAATTTAGTTTAGTTAGAACTAAAACTTTAATTTTTTGTGCTTAGATGCTTTATTGAACATCCTTAGTTTTCAGGCTTGTATTGTTTTTTTCAGGAATGTTGTTGTGGAATCCTTTTTTTAAGCACACCCTTTTGGGTTTTGCAGATGGAAAGAATTACAAAGTGCTTTACTTCTCAGGGAATCACCTAAATTTCAGAATTTCCCTGGAGCATTAGCCTTGTAAAAGTGATTATTCTCC